ACTTTTCTTGAACGATCACCTTATGATTAAGCTGTATCACCCCCTCCAGTTGGTGATAATTAAGAGAGAGAAGCAAATTTTCATCTGGGGAAGGACTGCTTGACTTCTCGACTAACATAGATATGACTGGACAATACAACTGAACTTTCCACAAGCCGTATGTGGAAAACGAGTAAGAAAACAAAGGAGAAGGAGTTTTACAGTTACTACTTGGGCAATCTGCATTTTCACCTTGTAATTCTAAAATCCAATTAGTAATTGCAAGATTTATAGAACGCATCCACTGTTCTTCTGTGTTAGACCCCAAAATCCTCATCAATTTCTTGGAAACTTCTCTTGATTTTGGGCATGCAAATTGATCTTTCAGGGTTGAAAGACATGAAGATCTAAGATCAGATGTAGCTTCGTATATGCAAATAATAAAAGTAAGGCAAAGAAATGAGAAATTAAACAGATCTTTAAAATTATTTTCTGAGTAAGTACTTCTTGGAAATCTAAGCAAATTAGAGGAAATACTTCTGTTTGGACTGTACGAAAGAACGTTTTCGATGATATTATGGAAGAGAAATGAAACTGTTTCATGATCGTCTAGAAGTTTCTTTGATATGGGATTTGGTGAAAAGGTTTTAGAGCTCCAGAGAGAGAGAGGGAGATTATAATCTGCACATATAGAGAGAGAATGATGAGTTATTGTTCTTAATTGAGAGTTTCAAGGAAGGGATTGATGAAAATGGGCATAGATTCATGGACATGGAATCTGTTTTCCACTGGGGGATTGGTGGAAGGTTTTCAAGCCAGGCATATACATCAGAAGAAGAAGAAGAAGAAGAAGAAGAAGAAGCCATGAAAATTTGTTAAGAATTTCTCAGTTTCTTGTTTGTGATATTGAACTCCATGGTTTTATTTAAAGACCATAAAAATCTAAAGCAATATTCTCAATGGGAAAAAAGTCATGATAGAGAATATAACAAGCAACTTGACTAGATACAGAGTTTAAATTATTTTCCTTCTTTTTATCGTGTTTTAGCGTTGTGAAATTCAACAAATCGAACACGAATAGAGTAATAAAAAAGGATTGTGGAGTTATATCAAGAATATAATGACGATCATGTCTGTACATAGTACTCTATAATATAATAGACAAGATCCTACTTATTTTCTTGTTGACATCAACATGCCAAACATGTTAGAAATTTACGATTAAAGTACAATAGATTTAGCAACAAAGTAACTAAAAGATATCCATCTACTCAACCCTTAAAGCACGTTAGGTTAAGCTTAAATTTCCTTAACCAAAATAAACAAAAAGAAATGAATTTCTTATTTTGACATTGAGGTCGGAGTTAGTATCAATATAACTAACTTTATTTTTTAAGCCAAACGTGTTGGAATAAAGTAATTTTTTTACTTTTTTTAAGCTTAGGTAGCCAAACATTTTCTTAATTGTTGTTTTTTAAGTGAACAAGTAAAGATTTCATGGATTTTGGGAAATAAAGTTATATGATAACTGGAACAAGAAAACTACATCCACGTATAGGCTCAGGCTGTAGGTGGACTAGCCAGCCTTGAGGGGTTATGATTTAATTTCTTATAATGAATTTTCGTTAATCACTATTTAATGATATTATTAAGTGAACAGGTAATTATTGATATAAATCATATCACATATTCAAATTTTACCGTAAATGAAGGTTAATTGGCTAAGTCAATAATTAAATAATGTAGATAAGATTTGTTTATTACTTAGAATCTCTATTTTGTAGCCGGAGGTGGGTCCTATGAATTAGCTACGCCCCTCACCCAAGTTTACTTCCGCTTCTTTCAATTTGCTACTCTTGTGTGAGCATCCTTTCTCACTTGCTGGGTTAATAAGCAGTTTGTCTCGTCCTGTTGGCTATTCGACGTCGAGTCAGTTATATTACAGTAGCGCGTTGGAAAGTCGACGCGAAGAGTGAATAGTAAGCAAGCAAGGTCGCTTCCGCAAGCATGTTTCCGAAAACACTCGGGGCTACTATTCTTCCTATGTCGGCTATACACTGTAATATTTTGTCTAGATTGTAATTATTAAAAATAAAATATAAAGTGTTCTTTCAATGTTCAATATACCATAAGATCTCTTCATAGCGATACTCTATTTAAGAATAATCTTTAGATTGTCATAAAAGAATTCAATTCCCAATATTTGTATATTGCATAATTTTTTACTTTTAAAGAGGAAAAAAGTAAAGAGATTGTAAAATTTTAGACTAATAAGATGACTTTGTATATTCTCAACACTACATAGTTATTGTACTAAATTTTTTAAATTATGTTTCTCTTTTATCAATATCTATACGTTGAATTTAATATGCTTCATTAATTAATTATTAATGTAGTGCATAGTTTATTTCTATATTACTTGCACAAAAGATAGCTAAGTGAAAAATAAAAGAACATTTTTCATGATTAAGCCATAATATCCACAGAGTGTCCAAAAGAGTCTTCACTTTTGAACGAGCATTTTTCATAATATGAAACGTCGGAGTAATTTTCTTATATACTCCAACAATTCCCCTATTTTTGGAGGGGTGGCTCTTTATTTTACTTTTCTTATGATTCATTTATTGTTTTCTTCTCATTCTCAATTTATATATAAAGATGAGCATCAAACTTTCGTAATTTATTAAGCAATAGCAAGCAAATTTGACTCTTCAAATTTAGAAATTCAAACACAATCTTTATTTTATAAAGTTAACTTT